CTCTCTCTCTCTCTCTCTCTCTCTCTCTCTCTCTCTCTCTCTTTCTATCTATCTATTACATGGGCAAGATAGAACTCGAACAACACGTGAAGATTCTTCATTCTATTAGGCAATAATATACACAATATATACTCATAATTTCTCTCATATATATATATATATATACACGACACTCACGTATATATCGACATTCACGTAACAAAAGCGTCGGCCCTGTACAAGTAGATTTTAAAAAGATAACCTCATCTCTAAGGCTTAATATTTGATATCATGTATTTTGGCCCATGCTGGATTCAGTGGCACACAAAATCCGTGTGTTTTTTAATATATTAGTTCGTTTTTTTTTTCAATCTGTAAAGCGTCGATCGATCACTGGGAAACAAGAGAAAAAAAAAAAGAGAATTGTCTGTGTCAGCTGAGTTCATGATGAGCCTTGCATTTTTAGATGCTATATCAAGTAGAAAAGAATTGGGCATGGAATGTCTATGATGAAGTTTTTCTTATTCGATGCAATAACACTTTTTTTCATCAGTTTTAGACAGTATTTTTTTTGTCTATTTGTATGAATTTATTATTATGTTTATAATTAGTGAGAATATGTGATTTATTAATCCACACCGCACGTAGTGATTAACACGAATTAGAGGAAAAAAAAAATAATGAGTCTTGTGCTTGTATAATTTTATTGCAAGGATGGAACCGTTTCAATGAGCCTGCACTCTACATATTTTCATCCAGTTTTTTGTCATGTTTATTATATAATGTATGTCTAGCACAGATGATTTACCACGTATGTTGTGTGTATAACGCTCGCGTGCTCGCATGCAGCGAGCGCGTGTGCATAGTTATTCGATCACGTTAGTCGGCTAAAACGACTCACCTCAATTCCTATCGCAGTTCTGGTAAGTTTAGTCACATTAATTAGTTTTTATTTTTATATATATATATATATATTATACGTCTATGTTCAATGTGTGTATAATTTTTTATCAAATACGCGGGGATCGCGATTTTTCTAATAAATATTTCCTCAATCTTTAATTTTCAAATAATTGTTTTTTACAAGATTCGTGATTATATAAGTCGCGAGAGACTTTTTACTATTTTAAAAAAAAATTAAATTAATAAAAGATTATGTATATGTAGAACATAATGAGTTTGTTCAAATCTCTTTGAAAAAATTTTGAAAATTTTACATTCTGTCTGGACATATTTTTATAATAAAGTAATAATATATTGAAACTTGTTTTATTTACTTGTTTCAAAGTTTTATCATTATAAAATGGAAAAAAAAAGATAAAAAAGAATTCTGAAAATTTTTGAGAGTTAATTTTTTCAAAGTAATATTTCACTTAAAAAAGTTACTTTACACGATATAAAAAGTTCATGAACTCATCGTAAAATTGTATATATATATTTTATTATTGAATGTTACTATAATATGCTTTAAAATACTCCTTTTTGAAAGCTATACGATGATTTATATATTTTTCAAAAACAATTTTGGAAATCTCTTGATGTCATTAAAGCCATAAAAATATTTTTACTTTTGAAAATAAAAAAAAAAAAATTAGATTCAATGTACGAGAAGAATGTTTCAATTCCAAACAAATTATTTCAGTAACTGAAAGCTTGAAAGAAAAGCATTTTATGACATTAATGGCATTGAGAATAACATAATGCCAGGTCTAAAGTTACATTTCACAAAATTGTTTGGAAAAGTGGACAGAACATTGACATCCTTCCGAAAAGGAATATTTCGAGGTTGACAGTGACATCTAATAGTGAAGTACATAATTTAACCACGACGAATTCTCGAACTTTATCAAATATCATATAACTATATCAAATATCATTCTGCTCTACATGTTCGAAGTTTCGTTAAAAACAAAACTCTTTTTTGCTTCTGACAATACAATTCATATGAATTATATAAATTATGTAAAGACTTTTGCGACTGATTGTATATGTATATATTATTCCAAATTATTATATAACTAGAATAATAATATTGTTTTCGATAGATCTTTGAATCGAATATTGTTATTGTGGCAGCAGACTAAACTGGTATATACGAAAATACGTTCTCCATATTTTTTTTCTTAGCTGGTTGCGTCGTATATATTTTTGCGCGTATATATTTTCATTTGACCGTATTTACGCCCTCGAGCGGCATCACGACAAGTGTATATATTCTCTCTCTCTCTTTCTCTCTCTATCTTTCTCTCTTGAGGAATCATGGTCAAAGAAAGAAAAAGCAAATAGAAAAACAGTAAAAGCTGATGGCTGGCAATCAGAGAGAGAAAAAAACGTAACGAAATCGTTAGTCGGTTGATACATATGTATGTATATTATATATATAGAGCGTGTACATGGTAGTTGCTTGTAAGTCTTCGTATTTTTTTTTATTTATCTTCTTCTATTTTTTTTATATTTTTTTTTATTTTCGATCATCCATGTTATTTTAATCGGGAGTGGAATCTAATTCGTTCGTTGTGTTGGCAGACATATTGTCGTGTGTGGCCACATCACCTACGAATCAGTCTCGCACTTCCTCAAGGACTTCTTGCACGAGGACCGCGAGGACGTCGATGTGGAAGTTGTCTTCTTGCATAGGTATGATTATCGGTCCGATATCTATTATTTCACTCTTAATCAGACCTTAATGCATATCTATCTTCCCAATTATGGTCTCATTTCGGTCAACGAACCTCTGTATAATCTCAGCATGTGCAGCATTAATTGCAGACAGTTTTTTTTTTTTTAACACGATTATACAGGATGTTTTGACACTTATCCTTCCATGTCCTAACTCACTTGCCGAAAATATTCTATATCGAGATCGATCAGATCGATTTTATTACGATACAAAAATAATTCGAACCCAATTATTATTAAAATTCAATTGATATATTTACAACGATTTTCTTCACATTTGAGTCACCTCATGTTAAAAATAAATACGCGATGATGCGTTTATACACATGTGCTAAACGATATAAAATTAAGTAAGTCTGCTACTGTAATCGTTACCGATAAGCAGTCACTCGCGTCAAAAACCAATGTCATGCGATATCGATGATTATCACGAAAAGAGTAATAAATTACGCCTGTAATTTATCGTAATGTTGTGACGACTTGGGGTAAGTATAGGCAATACGATTTGCCTAGGTTTCACAATTGTATATATATCAGCTTTCCAGCGGTTATACGACTAAAGACGATCAGACACTGCCGATCTTATTTTTTTTTATTATTCCATTTTCAATGCGGGCTTTTGGGTCAATGCGAATGTTAATTTAAGAGCTTAATGTCAAGGCTATGTTTCGATGGTCAACAGAGAGAGGGAACAGGATGTACCGAAATATACAGTGTAGAGAAAGGCCAAGGGTATCTGGTGTTCCAATGCACCACATGTTTCGATTGATCGAGTCATGAGGTCTGATCGTCATTGTCGTAAGGAGTGATCTGTGTTTCCAGGAAAGAGCCAGATCTCGAATTGGAGGGTCTCCTGAAGAGGCATTACACGACCGTGGAGTTTTTTCAGGGCACTATGATGAATGCTGTGGACCTGGAGCGTGTCAAGGTATCCTGAACCCTAAAGCAACCATCACACGAATCCTCACCCTTTCAATATCGAATATCCTTACTCTCTGTCCTTTGCGTGGCCGCTCGTGCTTCTTGTTTTCCTTCTAGTTTTTTAGGTTTTTTGCGCGGTTATTTACTCAACAGCAGTTGATCGATCGATATAGATATCTAAGAAAGACTATATTTTAAATTAGGTATTCAATTTATGACATGTAATGTATATGATTAGTTGCAATTAGGTTTGCTCAGTTTTAATTTTTACTCGATTGTATTTCTCTTTTTCTCTTCTATTTTTCTCTCTACGTATTTTGTCATCTTTCATCCTTTTTTTTCTGTTTTATTTCTTTTTTTTTTTTAATTATATAGTGGTTTGATAATGTATTTGCAATTGAGGTATTGCTTTCTTTATTTTGAAAACGTAATATTTTATTAAAATAGTTAAAATAGTTAAAAAAGATAATTAGAGGAATTGAAGATATGGAGATAAAAATATGATGAGAAGAAATATATTTTGAAATTTTTTTTTTATTATATGTGGTACGAATGAAAAAACAATTTCTCATTTAAATATAAGCATAAAATGTGAAATCAAATTTTTTGTGTATTATTTTTAAGAGAATTCAACATTGAAAGTTCGCCAAATATGCATATAATTAATACACATGGATATATTATTCATCTTGTTTTCATCTTAATAATAAATTGTCATTAGTATGAATTAACATTTTACATTTCTCGTTATTTAAATTTTCTATTTTTTTGATAGATATATTATATTCTATTCACGTATACTCATTCTGAATTTATTAATTTTTGATAGTTGAATGTTTTTTTAATTGATCGAATAAAACTCTACACATATTTAGCATAATAAATATGTAATCCATATATTTTTATATTTTCTTCGAATCATAAATAATAAAATTAACCAAATTGTATTTAATTTTTTTCTTATAAAAAAAAAATTTTTTATGAAAAAAATTCTATTTTACGTTTTCTATCTTTACTTATGAAATTATTTGCTTTTCAATTGTATCACAGATTACATTCTTGTTTTAAGTGATTTTTAATCTTGAACAATTTTAAACTCGATAATTTTGTATCAAAAAATAATTCAAATCATCACAAGAATTATATTTAGAAAAACAATTACAATTAACAAATATAAAACTTTCTTAACACTTAACACTTCAATACTTTCGTTTGCGAAACAGTTTTCCTTTTTATCGTATGACATCATTTTTGAAAATGAACATTTCAAGTGAAATGTTTCTCCATATTGTATTTCGAGATTACGCAGATAATCGTATTAGTCATTTATTAAAAATCATCTTATACATATGTTGGTATATATATACATAATACACATATATATGTACATATATGTATATGTACAAACTTATACGTAGAAAGCAATTGCCTGCGACTGCATGGTATGCTGTAATGAGCTATGGAGCCGAATCAGCGTGCAGTAGAGACTTACTTAGATCTATTACAACGTTTATCGTATCCTTGACTTACGAGGAAACATATTTATTATAAAATAACGAATGTGTAGAACAGTAATTCTCAACCTGTGAGTTGCTTTTTATTTTTAAATAATTTGTAATAATTTTTAACATTTATAGTAAATGTTGGATAAATAGCCAAAAAATCGAAATCCAAATTGTGTATTTATAAAGTAGAGATAGTGAAATTTAGAAAAATTATATTATTTGATCAGAGCTCATAATTCTTTTCGAATTTTGTTATATACAGAAATACTTGCAATATCAGTGTACAATAAAAATTGGATAAATCGAAACTCAAATTGTGTATTTATGAAATAGTATATTGAACCAATATAGTTCGATCAAATTCTTTTTATATTTTCTTAAATATAAAAACATTTATCAGGATATATATAATAAAATTTGTATAAGTATTCAAAGTTTTACCTCATCGACATTAAATTATAAGGTAAAGGTATTGAATATTAATCACGATTTTTCTCATATTTTGTTAAATATAGGATACAATAAAAATTGGATAAATATTGAAGAATCAGAATTCAAATTGTACAGAATACAAATTGTATTTTTCGAAAATATTGAGATTTAATTCGCATGACTCGATCAGAATTTTTTTTGTATTTCACAAAATATAGAAAACAAGATGAAAGAAGAATTATACAATAATGATGATTATTGGCCATCACTTACACTTATCTGATGTTTACTATATTTATATATTTTATAGAGATATTTATTTTACACGAAAAGAAAGAAATCGCAAGATACATGAATATTGCAAAAAGAAATCGCAACTCAAAGATGGTTGAGAAATAATCCATTAAAAGATTAATCACTTGATATTCCTCGAAGGTCTAACGCTAAATACGACAGCATTATTATTACTACTTATATTATAAGTCGAATCTCCGCCCATCTCTGGCGGGCCTACTCAGCGATAATTCGCAAAAAAGGCGTCCTCCGATATCTGAGGTGAACATTATTTATGAAAAGAAACGTATCATTTTGTCGGGCTCGTGCCATTTAGGAAACCACCAGATCTCGAGCTGGAGGGACTATTCAAACGGCACTTCACCACCGTGGAGTTCTTTCAGGGGACCATCATGAACCCCATTGATCTGCAACGGGTCAAGGTGAGTTTGATATCTATTCTGCCCCCTCCAAAGTTAATGATAAAAATCCTCGTCTCCTTTTTAACATATGCAAGATAATACCTATGATAATTACATCGATTTGTATCAACCTGCGTGTATTATTTGGCGAACGCCACTATGCATATTTACATATATATACGTATACAATATGTTCTTGAAACGGTGGAATATTTTCTGGAGAGATGAAAATAAATGTTAAATTTGTTATTACGATTTTTGAGTGTGAATCTAATAGAAATTTTATTCTAATATTTTGTCAGCATTGAAATTACGTTTTTCAAATTTAAATAGCATGCTAATATTATTCTGATGACATCTATGATATTATTATTTAAAATATTTTATGAAGATTTAGAAGTGATTCGAGAAAATAATCATTGCAGAATTTAGGATTTATTTATTAAATATTTAATTATTGTAATATATTTAAAATTATAAATAAATATTTAAAATTTATTGTAATAGATATATATATATATAAATCAAATAAAGAAAAGTTTTTAATATCATGAAAGAAATATTGAAGGATAGCACGCGTAAAATATGTTACGTAAAATAGATGGAAAGAAAAAAATTGAGTATTCTAATGTGATTATAATAAAAAATACAATAATTACAATAAATAATATTTAATAACAATATATATTATATTATTAGGTTTTTCTTAACGATAATATAATAGTTTTATTTAAAACGAATTAAATTATTATTAATTAATTATTATTAATTATTATTAATAATTAATTTAATTATAATTAAATTATTAAATTAAATTATATCAATATTAAGTTTTCTTTATAAGTTATTTATATATATTTTATATTTTCAATTATCTTAAAAATATTCCATTATTTTCAAATTAATTCGACATATTGTATACATATATTTATGTACATACATATACATCTTTGTGCTCAACATCCACAGGATCATCGAATTATCGTATTCCTTCGTTGTGTTATAGCAGCTCCCATGACGTAGTACTTGTACTTTGAACGTTTTATTCTTGTTATCAAAATATTACTATAATTATATTTATTATATTTAATTTTATTTATATTAATTATATTTATTATCAAAATATTCAATTAAATTATTTTCAATAATATAAATTTCATTTGAAATATAATATTTAGATTAAATATATATTTTTTGAGGGATTAAATAAATTATAGAATATAAAAAAATTAGAGGAAAAGATTTTTTAATTTAATATGAATGAAATATGAATACAAAATGAAATATTTTGTATTTATCAATTGAATATTTTAAAAAATGACATATACATTTGATAATATAAAAATATAATTTTTCATAATGATTTAATATAAATGTAAATGTTGAATAATTTTAATTTCAATTTTGATTTTAATTAAAAATAAAATACAAAGTTATATTCTAAATATAACTTATAAATATATATTTAAATATAATATATTAAAGATTTTCAATAAAAAATGCTTTATATATGTAAAAGAAATATACATTGTAATTGTACATTGAAACTGTATTATATTGGTACTTCGCAATTGATTTTCATTGCCATTAGAGGGATAAGTATACGCTTTCTCACAAGTATTCGCGTATAGTCTTCTTATAAATATTGTTTCTCTTATTTCAGCATTTAAGATATGGGCTTGCCAATAAGCAAGCTTTTAATAAGCATCGGTGGTTTATTTTTCTTTCTTTTTTTTATTTCTTTTCTTTTTTTTGTTTTTTCTTTTTTTTTTTAATTTATATTATAGTTTATTTATATTATATTATATATTATTTATATTATTCATATTATATTATTTATATTTATATAATATATATTATATATATTATTTATATTATAATATAATTTATAAGTTATAAATTCATATGCATGTGATTTAAGTTAATTATAAATATATATTATTAAGTATAGTTTAAATATAAGTTATTTAAGTATATCATTTTTCTTAATTTACAAATAATTTAAAAATAAATAAAATTGCATTTAATTGTAAAATACAATATATATATTAAGTATATATTATTACTATCAAAAAGTACAAGGAATATGATTTCATGGTTGCTGCTTTAAAATTTTAGTAGTCGTTCGGAAACGTGCGAAAGGACAAATGTTGTTGTTCCAAAATAATTGTTGCCTGTATGTACCCTTCTGTGCATATTGACGATGTTTTATGAAATCCCTTTGACGCGCTTTCCATGCTGTCATTTGCTTTCGTGTTCCAATATGTAATAGCTCGTACAAGTTTAATCGAATACACGATATCTCAGCAAACGTTGAATGATAAAGTTATCAAATGAAAGTTAAAAGTTCTTTTAATATTTCTCCCTCGATTAAATTCTTCGAAAATATTTTGTTTTTCAATGCAATTTCAATGCCAATCTCTTGTCAAGGGACTTTGAAAAATGATAATTATATCTAAAAAAAAAAAAAAAATATTTTTAGTTTCTTCTGACGTTAATATGTATACATTTTGACATCTGTATCAAATTGCGTGAAAATAAGTCTCTCGAAGATTGTTTACACCTACTGGATACAACTATGTGTCTACTATCAATCCAGGTGGGTAAGTGCTTGTGAATGAAATTTAAATAAATAATTATATTTCTAATATAATATTACTTTTTCTGTTAAAGATTTAGTTTACAATAGCGATTCATAACTCTTTATTAAGTACATAGATTCTGCATTTAAAGAAGAAAGAAAGAAAAAAAGAAAAAGTGACAGAATAGTATGCTTGGCTATTTGTATAATATTTCTTTTATATCGATTAAATTTAAGTCAAGTTGTAGATGCGCATGTTGACGATACTTTGATATCATTTTGATAATTCGTTATTTAATAATATTTTAGAAATATTGTAAAGTTTTGGTTTAAAATGTGTCGAAGATACTGTAAAATATAATATATGGTAAATAATAGAGATTTTTTTTTTAAATGAAATTATATAGATACAAAAAATTAATATTATGATATTCTCATAAATTACATTATTTTTTATCTCATATTTTTTTTTTCAAGAGTTTGAAATCAGAAAAGCATTGAAAGTTTCAAGACTCAAAACTTTTTGTTCTTTTTTCCAAAAATTTCAAGTGCTTTATTTTTAATAAGTACATACATGAAGAATTTTGGAATATAATACCTGATAATTGTAATTAATATCATATTTTCATTTTTGAAAATATCGATTTCTAAATTTTGATAAATATTCTTTTCTCAGTATTTACGACGCATGCCAATAGTTATCTACTATTAAACGCTTGTAAAAAAAAATGTGTATATTACGTAGTGCATATTCCTGCATATTCGATGTATCACAGTGATTAGTTTTCCCGTGTTTTCTTTGCCTGATATTCATCATTTCCCCAAAAAACACATTTCACTTGATCAAAAATCACATATCATACATATGGCGGACTTTACTTTTTACAAGCATATATGATTGAATTTAATTTTATCAGGTATATTTCCCATATATATTTGAAAGCAATGTGAATCAAATGACATGTGAAATTGTACAATTGTTATTTGCATTGAATAATGATCGAATAGAATAAATTTTGCGCTACATTTTCTTTCGCTAATGATTCCTTAGTTAAAAATTTGTTCAAAAGCAGTTTCTATTTTGTAATTGCTTTCCAACCATTCATCCCTCTCCATGTTACATATGTCACCTCCTTGATTCCATTTTCGCTTGTTTATTATTCATATATACGCGGGACAAAATGTTTCGATCATTTTAGGTCCACGAGGCAGACGCGTGTTTGGTTTTGGCGAACAAGTACTGTCAAGATCCAGATGCGGAAGACGCAGCAAACATCATGCGTGTCATCTCCATCAAGAACTATTCGGATGACATTCGCGTTATCATTCAATTAATGCAATATCACAACAAGGTATTGTTATCGATATTTTGCATGTGATTTAAGTTTCCGTTCAAAGAATTTTATTTAGAATATATATTTAATAATCATTATATAATTTGAATAATAAATAATTAACAATTCTAAATATTTTATACGTAATATGAAAATATAAATACGAATTACATAAATTTTGATTAATAAATTTAAATATTATATAATATTAATATACATATTATCAAATTTTATTTTATACACAATTAAAGATGATACTATTAAATAGCTGGAATTATCGGATCAGGACTTAAAAGGAAATCTATTATAATTTACTGCTTTATATTATTTGAAATCCATATTATAATAATGTGCTGAATATCCAGAGTTGGGTGGTTGCAGTTTAATAAATTTCAGATATCGATAAAACTTTTAATTAAAGAGAAATTATAATAACATATTGATTATAATAACTAATTATAATATAAAATATAATTATTGTCAATAAGAATTGTTAAATTTATTGGATATATTCAAATACATATAAAGAAATTCAACCGATGTTTAAATAATCGATATTTTATTTTGTTTAATTTTATTCAAATATAATCGTAATATAAGAATTAGTTCATATATTTTGGTAATTTTCGATTTTCTATTTCTATTAATCATTAAAATTTTTCACAAAATTAACATAAATTTTCATTCAATCAGAAATATAACTATATTTTAATTCTAATGAATCTATATATAATATATATTTAGATAGAAATTATAGATTAATTTTAAACCTTCTATATTATTTAACATGCAGTTTCGAGAACGATGTTGTTAATAATGCGCGGTACTTCCGGAAAGTAATTAAAATAATGAATAATTGGATTATTATTTCACAATCAATAATTAATAAAATGAAATAATAAAATTAATTTAATGATAAATACGAACCATTCAGAAACAAAAGTGATGTTGTATCTTTTTATCATTATATTTAAATAAATTTATCGTTTATTTATAAGAAAATATTCATCAGAGTTTTTAATGACTTTTTTCCATCATTCAAATAATTATTTTTTGACAAAAAGAAGTCTTGTTTCAATGAACTCATATGTACATTTTTTCACTTTTATATTAATATTCGAATACGTTCGAACAATTCGAAATTTTACGTTTCAGGCCTACTTACTAAACATTCCATCATGGGATTGGAAACAGGGCGACGACGTGATTTGCCTGGCCGAATTGAAACTAGGCTTCATCGCACAGTCCTGTCTAGCGCCGGGTTTCAGCACGATGATGGCCAATCTTTTCGCCATGCGTTCCTTCAAGACGGTCAGTAGAATGTCGTTCTAAGGACGACAGAAAAATCTGCCGATCTTTTTCATCTATGCATGTGTGAACAAGGTTCCTTAGGTTTTTTCACGGTTCACTTGTTCACAGCGACCTCGCGATTTTTATTAATTCTTATACAAAAATAATACGTACATAAAATACCAAAATACCACTTTGTTACTTTTATCTCGCTTTTCTCGTTTTAAAATCGATCGAAAATCATTTTTGAATATAAAGCATTTTTATCCGCTGCGTTTTACTTTAAATTATAATAATTAAATTATAATAATCTATGTTGAAAAATTGGAAAAAATCGTGAAAATGTAAGTAGATTAGTGTCGCTGTGAATAAAAGCGCGAATCCGTACATGCATAGGAGCGTGTGTAATTTAGAAATGGTTGGTTGATTGGTACCAGTCACCCGATATGCAGGCTTGGCAGAATGACTACCTTCGTGGAACTGGAATGGAGATGTACACCGAAACACTGAGCCCTACCTTCATTGGAATGCCCTTTGCCAAAGCCACTGAGTAAGTCGGTCCATGACCAATCCAACATCCAACAGATACCTGCATATCTGATTCAAGAGACGTAATCTGTGATTCCGTTCATTTGTGTCGAATCATTATGTATATATATATATATATATATATACATATTATATACATATTATACATATTCATATTTTGTATTAACAACGCATCTAAAACGCGACAAATATTTTATCGAGTCTATATTAAACTCGATCTGAATTAATAAATAATTAATTACTAATTAGAAGAGTTACTCGATTGATAATTTGTCAAAATTTGAGAAATATGTTGAAATGATGTATCTATTTGCCAGATTAATTTAATATAATTTTATAGAAATTTATTTTTTTAATATTATTTTATTCTTTTGTATATTAAAAATAGAATTTAAGAAGTAACCTTGTCCTATTATATTTTATCTATTATATAATTTTATATAATTTTTATATGATTTTATAATAATCTTTTGAATACCTGAAATGTTTACATTTTTATTATAAATAATAATACAAAATAGAATCACAATACTATCTCAATTACACGCATTCGAATAATAATAATTAAAAATGTATGAATAATTATGATGGAAAAATACGAAAATAATTTTATATATAAATACTTTTTGTTAAATATATAAATGTAAAAGATATTTTCTACATCTTTCTTATCTTTTGACTTCTCATTATTCTATTTTATATAATTAACAAAAATATTGATATTCATCTAATTCGAGTTTTCTGTTGAAACAATGAATAATATGAAATATCTTAGATTATATTAAAATCATATAGGAAACGTGCTCTTGTTCAAAAATATAAATAATAAGGATATGTTACAATTTATTGTAATCGAAAATATCGATGAACTTTTCACTTATTTATATTATTACGTTCAAGTATTATTAATAGTACCGTAGTAGTTCGTTCGAAAATTCTCAATTTTGTCTCAAAGTAATACGGATTCCGGTCGACCTCGGTTCTTTTTGTGTTCACGTTAACGACGACGGAATCACTTGGAGAAGGATTCGCAGTCTCTTGAATCGGAACGAAAAAAAGAAAAAAAAAAAGAAAAAAAAAAATAAAAAAAGGATGAAGCTTCGCCTCGCCTATGTCTTTCACTATGCTCCACTCCGCTATATACATTATATGGATTATATCTACATCTATATATCTATACTATACATGAACGTATTAACTGTATATTGTACAGTACCGTATCTGTGCTCTACACCTAATCGATGTAAGCCACCTCTAATCGCTTCAGTAACGTTTTTTGTATTTTTCACTCTCTTTCTCTGTCAGTTCTACGTACGGTTTGAAGTCGATCCGATTTATACCGTGGTTTGCAAAAAGACTTGTTTCAAAAGAATTTTATGTGGAAGAAGGATTTATGTAAAAGGAATTTTACTATGTACAACGATAAAGCATTTTAATTAAATAATCGATTTAAAAATGATCATTTAAGCAGTATTTTATTCATGGTTGATTAAAAATTCTAATGACATAAGAAATATATATTATATATATTTAAATATTTCTATTCTAATTTATTGTTTTTAATTTAATTTTTAATTTAAAATTTCATCATATGCTGCAATATATTACTTCAATAATTTAATTGAAACTTTTTTAATATTTCTTTTTTTTTCTTTTTAATTACAATAATATACATATTATATAATTTTTTACAAAAATTGCACAATGAACATTTGAATATTGAAAAATCAAAAGTTACCTATATCATGTATATGTAATTAAAGATTTCGCATTAAATGCAACCTTTTTTCTATCTTGCATATATTTTAGAAACGTAATTTATAATATAAAATGTGATTTTTATGCTTGAATACTCCACAGTATCGATTGACTCGAACGCTCACCGTACGTATAATAAAAATTTGCAACAACGACAAGCATAAACGGCAACTGGATGATTGGTAAGCATTAGGAATTATAGCTAGTAGGTATCATCTCAATCTCGCTTAGTGATTCGATCAGTCTTGAAAGGCGATTTCATATAAGAGAATCGAAGGTACTACTTACGTATGCAGTGCTTGTTACTTCGTGTCAGTGAAAAATTGTTGTTGGTCATTACCAGTTCAGGATTATATCTATCATAGATATGTGTAGTAACGAATATATGATGCATAAAATGGTACTTATTTGGTTATATTTATAAAAATATTGGCCTTACAATAGATAACAAGAATTTTTCAATCAGTCAAGATTGTGTGTAATAATTGTGGTTAGGTATAATCGTATACAATCGTACTGTGATGTTCGACAATTGTAAGATTAGTATATTTTTTTTTCCTGTAAATATTTAAATTTCACTCAACAAAGGTCAGTAAAATAAAAAATTGTAATAAAAATAACTTATTTGTTCTGAGCTATCCATTAAGAAAAAGGGAAAGAAATAAAATATATATTCGAAAGAATTAAATAGATCACATAGAATGTAGATAGATTTTATAGAATATTATTATAAATTTCTATTAATCAAATTTTATTTCCAGAAAACTAACTTAGATAATTAGAATATTCCTATACAATTTCGAATCGTTTGTTATTCTTGATAAATCTTTCTCTCTCTTCAAAAAATACCACATATGCAGGGTATTTCAGAACGAATAGTACAAGCATGCAGAAATGATTCTACATGCTATAAATGAATTGAAAGAAAAGAATTAAATTGTTTCAAGGCTTTGCTTTCGAGTAAATTAAGTTTGAAAAGTATTTAAGTTTGAATAATATTGTCTGATTTCTGATTGAATACGAATGAATAATGAATAGAATATTATATAAAAATAAACAAAAAAAAAGGAGAAAATTTTTTAATTTGAATTTTTTTATTAGTTTCTAAAAAAATCGAATTTGAAAATTCTTTGAATACACAAGATTAATTTTTTAATTGAATATAGAACATTCGATTATAGACCTAAATTAAATCGAAACAATATATTATTTTGATCATGAATGAGATTTCAATTTTTCATGTAAAAAATGTAAAAAAAAAAGTTGAAAATTTTACCATCAAAAACCTATTCAGAAAATAGTGAAAACCATATCCTTGAATTCACTTTTTGTTGCATTCCGATATCTGAATCAGTTGTTGAAATATGGAGACTCAAAGTGTCTATAATGCTTAAGATAGTGCTGAGAATATGAATAAGCCTCCTGACCTACATTTTTTCCTGGAAATGCATACGTTCTTCCAAGAATTAGAATCTGTCTAAAGTTTTGGATAGATCAGTAAAGTGCGAGGGAGAGAATCGAGTAAGAGATAAAGACAGAGATAGCAAACGATTAAAAATTACCTTTTTCTTTTTACACAACGATATCTCGGCAACCAGAAGTTGTATCGGGATAAATAAAAAAGCATTTTAAAGAGCAAGATACCACGCTTCTAACGATCTTTCATTCGTCGATTAAAAATCATTATCTTTAAAATTATAGCGATTTAAAATTTTAATAATTTTAATAAAATTATTAAAATTTATAAAATAATGGAGTTATAAGATAAATTGCATATGATAAATGTGTTGATTTTTGGATAAATATCCTTTATAATGATCTTACTAATGATATGTTGAAAACTTTAAATTAGTTGGTTCAAAGTAAATTGGATCTTTATTTATTCAATCAAATTTAATAATATTATTAGAAAAGTAAAAAGAAAAATCTTTAAAATGTAGTCTTCAATATCGTAATTTTCTTTTCTATGATACACTTGTACGAAGTATGTTTCTGGACTTGATAATCATATTCTCCTTGAACTGCCCTATATTCATTCGTGAAACTTACTCTTGCCGATGGATATTCTTATCGATTTTTAGTTACCAATGAGTAAAAAACGAAGTTTTCTTGTAATTTTTATCTCGAAGAATTATTCCTTAAATTTATCCCAACATATATATCTATAACCAAATATTTCAATTTCAATTTTCAAAATTTCACTCTACTTTTCATTTATTTTCACATGTAATAATATTCATTTACTCGATTCAATCAATCTCAATCGAAAATTTACCAATTTCAATCTTAAAAAGAAGAAAAAAAGAGAAGAAGAAGAAAAAAAAAAACTTAACTTAACTTAAACTTATTCTTACTCGAGAACGAAGCTCAAAACGAATTTTCATTCTCTCCTTTTCGATTTTTGCATCTAGAATTATCTATTTCGTCGGCTTGATCACGTATCGGTGCTGAGACACTCTGCACATACATATATATATCTATTTAACAGATGAATGATAATCGTACGAAAATCGGTGTTATCCTATCTTGTTTTATCCTGCACGACAAGATGCGGACCACGAGGTCAGCGTTCTTCCTCGTGTCAGGCTCAGTCAGTTATTTAGATAGATTATGAAAGGTTTGATGACGTGGGGCTTGATTGGTTGGTGTTTCAGTCGCCGGATACTCAGGCGTGGCAGAATGATTACCTGCAGGGCACGGGCTGCGAGATGTACACGGAAACCCTCTCCCCGTCCTTTACCGGGATGACATTTCCCCAAGCCAGCGAGTAAGTTCTCGCTGTCATTGGTTGTCACACGTTGCAAACAATTTTTATCAACATACATATACATACATACATACATACATACATACATATATACATACATATATATAAAATATATGTATACCCAAGACACATCATGCATACAAACACAAACAAAACATGTAGCGATCGCGTGATAAAAAAAAAAAACGAGTTGTGACAATAAGATTTTTACATACATGTGCAACATACACTTGGACATTCGAAAAATGAACACTGATAGTGCGAGATTTTTGTTTCTCTGCCTGTTTTTATATAATTGTTGATCTCGCATACTTTTTAAATGTACCTCATCAGTGTGAAATGTGTACATATATATATTATATACTTTATTATTGATTACGAGATTACAATTGTCACCCTTCACCTCGGTTTTATTGATTATCCCTTGAAACATGTTTTTTTTTCTCTCATGTATCAGGATCGTTTTTTCTTTTTTA